TCTCTCTCTCTGTTTTTCTCTATCCAAAACCCTAACAAGGCAAGTTCCAAGCTATCTCTTCTGTTGCTGCGAATTTTACAGTCGAAGAGTTCGATCTGTATCCTGTGTTGGCCGTCTAAGTTGCGGCGCTCAGATTCGGCTCCAATTTAATGTGAGAACTTCTCCCACTTTTCTTGATTTTCGATTGGTTTTGTTTCTGTAGAATGCTTGTTGTATTTCTGCCATTTCCTTCATTTTATACTTATAGAGTGAGCGTAGGAGAGAAAGAAAATGCCTGGTCTGCAATGAGTTCGATCAGAATACATCACAGTCCATGTATGATTTTTTTGACATTTTTTCAACTTCTCTTTGCATCGAAATGACGCATGATTTTCTTCAAATCTATTCATTTGACAGATAATTGCGTTTGGTTATAGTAAATTCGCCTCATGATCTTCAAGCTACAGGCAGATTTTCTAGCATTTCTCGAGAAGTACGTCTAGAACTTTAATCAAATCCCTGCTTTTTCAGTTTTTTGGTCCGACTGTGAAGAGAAATAGGCAGCAGATATTAAGAATCACTATGACTATCAAAACTCCTTCAACACCAGCTTCGAAAACAGAGAGGACACCAGCATCAACACCTGGAGGACCTCGATCTAAGGAAGAAAAGATCGTTGTTACTGTACGGTTAAGACCTCTGAGCAAAAAGGAGCAGCAAGCGAAGGATCAAATGGCATGGGAATGCATTGACAATAATACGATTGTGTATAAACCCCAGCCTCAGGAACGTCATACTCAACCGGCCTCGTTTACATTTGGTACTAATGGCATCCGATCATTGTTTTCATGCCATTTTCTTTATTTCTTCCCCAAAGATTGTTCTAATGGCATCCGATCATTTGTTGTTGCAGATAAAGTTTTCGGTCCTGCTTCTTTGACCGAGGCAGTATATGAGGAAGGAGTAAAGAATGTTGCCTTATCTGCTCTAATGGGAATCAATGGTAATTCAAAGAATTATCAGTTCATTTTTTTTTTATCATTCAACGTAGGTGATTATCATCCATTCAAATGGTTGTATATTGTTCTATGTCACAGCCACCATATTCGCCTATGGGCAAACTAGTAGTGGAAAGACATTTACAATGAGGGGGATAACTGAGAAAGCTGTTAATGATATCTACAAACATATTAGTAATGTAAGTTTTTAGTGTTCTGAATCGAATTATTTTCTGCTAGCATTTTGTACCTTAAGTAAATCATCAGGTACCTTTGGTTTTTTGACAGACACCCGAGAGAGATTTTACAATTAGAATTTCTGGACTGGAAATATACAATGAGAACGTTAGGGATCTATTGAATACAGAACCAGGTCGGAATCTAAGGCTTCATGATGACTTAGAGGTACTATTCATAATTACATGTGTAAGGATTAAATGTAGTATGCTGCACCGAGTGAATATTGCTCTTTATGCAGAAAGGTACAATGGTTGAGAAATTAGTAGAGGAAACGGCGAGTAATGATCAACATTTGAGACATTTGATTGGCGTCTGTGAGGGTAAGAACAGTACTGTGTCCTCACTCAAGTTTGCTTAATGTCCTCCATAATACACTGCTTTAAGATTAGCTCACTTTGATTTTGTAGCTCAAAGACAAGTTGGTGAAACGGCCTTAAATGACTACAGCTCTCGGTCACACCAGATAATAAGGCTGGTTAGTTTTGTGGAAATTATGCGCTTTTGATGTTCTTATCTGAAAGTTTTTCTTTTTCAGCTTTTGATTGTTCTTACCATAAATGCTTTTGATTGTATATGCAGACAATTCAAAGTACCCTACGAGAGAATTCAGATTGCGTTAGGTCTTTTGTGGCAAGCTTGGTAGGAATTGCTTTTACATTCTGTTTATCTACAATCTTGTACTTCTATTTCACTTTTTCTTGGACTTACTAATTTTAACGCTATGCAGAACTTTGTTGATCTAGCTGGAAGTGAGAGAGCTTCACAGACAAATGCTGATGGTGCTAGACTGAGAGAAGGCTGTCATATTAACCTTAGTTTGATGACGCTCACAACTGTGATCAGAAAGCTAAGGTCAGAATCTGTTTCGTGAAAGATATTAACATTCACTGTGTCTGATATTTTCTGTATGTGCTCCTTTTTGGAATTTTCTTTGTTCTGTATAATTGAAGAGTGGGATGATGCATTCCTTATAAGAGTGTTGAAATTTCTCTGATCCCACATCGGGTGGAGAGAGGAACGAAGCGTCGGTGTGAAATTCTCTCCCTAATAGCCACGTTTTAATATGTGCTAAAGGTGGACTTGAGTTGTTACAACACGTAATGGGTTAAACGGATCTAAAAAGGGGTTTTGGACTGTTACAATATTGTATCTGAAGTTTCTGTTTATTGTTGCAGTCTCGGAAAGAGAAGTGGTCATATACCTTATAGAGACTCGAAGCTCACCCGCATACTGCAGCATTCACTTGGTGGAAATGCACGAACCGCCATTATATGCACATTGAGTCCAGCCCTGACTCATGTTGAACAATCGCGGAATACTTTGTACTTTGCCACCCGGGCAAAGGAAGTGACTAACAACGCCCAAGTTAATATGGTAATAACCACATTC